GGACTTACCATAAAGTGTCGAAAATAGTGCTGTTGCTCAGCACAAGTTGTCTGTCACTCGCAGCTCTGAAAGACAATGATGCCTTTAAAAAAGGTGATGGTACCACGTACTGTTGCGTAGCACCAGGGAGAAAACTATGGGTATGAGGAAATTCACCGGGGGCGTCGAGACGGAGTTGGCTATACTACCCCATCAGCCACCAAACGCTCGATGGATCCAGAAAAAAAAGTGCTAATAGCGTTGATTTCAATAGCAGCAGGGACGTCGACCATTTAGAAAGCAGTGGAAAACTACTAAACTTAAAATGTTTAGTTTAAAAAAAAAATACCCCCCTCCCCCCCCCCCCCCCAACAGTTTCTGAACCTTACAACTCGGTCACACGATAGGGCATGTACACTTGTGCCCTGTTGATATCGTAGAAGTAAAGCAACTGACCATGTTCCACGTCTTTAGGCGTATTGGGCATATAGGGCTAGACCTATATTTTATAGACCAATCGGCATTCGGTGAATAATGTGGTCACGCAGGCCGCCGTTACTTCCCAGGATTTTATGTGGTACCCATTTAACTCTTTCGGTCCTAGAAATTGTTGAATTCGATACTGTCTATGCTAAAGTTTTTGTATCCCATAGCAACAAAATTTTCGTCTCATTCTTTCCTTGGAGAGATTCACAGGCAGTTAAGAATAAACAACAAATATTCATTAAATGGTGCCCTCGCAATATAGAGGAAATTAAATGGTATGATAGGATCACTTATGTAGAGGGAAAGAGAAAACAGGGGCGCCCAAAAACAACATGGAGACGAACGATGGAAAGTGACCTGAGTGCGGCATCTTTGACATATAAAACTGCACTGAAGATTGCACAGGACATGAAAGCATGGACAGTCCTCTCTGAAGCCTCATGTGCCACTAGGCATAACGAGAACTGATGATGATAACGAGAACTGATGATGATAACGAGAACTGATGATGATAACGAGAACTTATGTAGAGCTTGGGAGAGATCTAAACAAGTTTCAGTGGACCAGGAGGTGAAGAGAAGACGTTGGCATTGGATAGGACAAACGTTGAGAGAACTGAGAACAATATAACTAGAATGTTTGCATTGGAAACCACAGGGGCACATAAATAAAGGAATCTCCCCCCCCCCCCCCTCCCCCCCACCCAAAAAAAAAAAAAAAACAGGAGAAAGGAGCTAGAGAGTGAAGTTAAAAAGATGGGGAGAGCTGCGTGCGAAAGCGAAGGATATCTTCGGCTTGCCGTAAGATGGCCTATGCTCCATTGGGGGTTAGAAAGGCAGAAGAAGAAGAAGAGCAAAAATAAGAAATAAAAGAGAATAAAGGGTTAAAGTAAGACATAAATGGGAATAGGAAAAGTAAAGAAATGTGTACTAAACATAGTGTAACTAATGAACGTTTGGTGAGTTTCTTGGTACTAGAAGAGTTAAGGCTGGGTCAGCGTCGGAGCAAAGGTCGTTTTTGAAAACAGTCAGGCTCCGTCAGGATGATGTACAAATTATGTGGCTTAGGCATTGCGAACGCGCTTCGTAATGTCGAAGTGCTGGGTTCGATCCCAGCTGCGGGCCTTGCGTTAATTTTGACTGTGGTATTAGGAAACCGACCGTCCAGAAAGCATTGGCAAACTACTTTATGTAAACTTGCTTAAAAAAACCATCACAGCCAAAAAATGCTAGGGTTGGTTCTGCAACGTTCTGTAAAAGATGCGCAACTAACTCTCTCTCTATTTCTCTTTCTCTCTCTCTCTGTCTCTGTCTCTCTCTCTCTCTCTCTCTCTCTCTCTCTCTCTCTCTCTCTCTCTCTCTCTCTCTCTCTCTCTCTCTCTCCTCTCTTTTCTCTGAAATTCAGACACTAGACTTTAGACCGTTCTTATTCTACCCATTCTTGTGGCGAATTAGATACCAGACTTGAGAACGTTATCTAGATTCAAGACGACAAATCGAAATGACATTTATAGTCGAAATTTGCAAGCGTGACTGCTTTGTTGGCATTTATAGCGTCTGAACACGGTCTTCCCGTTAACGAGCTTGTCCATTTTTCCGTGGCAATGGCTGGTAAAGTGACAGACGCATTAGGTCGGGTCTTAGTAGTGTTAACAGTCTGTGGGTGTTGGGCTGACAGTCAGACGTGTGGAGTTACTGTAGTGGCAACAGTCAAGAGGCAGGAGATAATATAGAAAGTGGGTGATGTGTGTACATTTAAGATGTCATGGGAGTTTATAATTGTTCAGGCCTGAAACAAGTTAGGGAATTTAAATATTGTCCAGGCAGGAACAAGTTAAGAAATTTAAGTATTGTCTAGGCCAGGAACAAGTAAGGGAATTTAAATATTTTTTAGGTCTGAAACAGCAGCAGTCGCAGCAAGGCCAGTGGATCAGCCTCGAGAGCACCTTGCCACGAATACTCACATAGTGTGAGATCTGGCAAATGGCCCCGCTGCGGCTGAGCTTTGTCGTGAGATATGCGTATGTTACCCTCTGGCGTCAACATGGTGAAATGGCATGCGACTAGCGATCCAACATGCCCACTATGCAGAGCTAAGCAGACGCTGGAGCACGTATTGTTGCGTGCAGGAAAGCTCTAGACCAGGGACGATATACTTGGCGCCACAGTAAAGCACTGAAAAGAGTTAGCGGACATTGTGGATTAAGCCAGGATGAGGGCCAACAAGGGCCAGTCCTACCGTCCCCCTCATGCGCTTCCTCGAGGCCGGGCAGATCTCTAAAGGTAAAGCAAACTAAGTCGCATATGCTCCATTAGTACTTGACCGTGCGAGGGACTGGTTACTGACGGTCAACATGCCTGTTTTTGAAAAGTACCCACAGTCAATCCGAAAGACCGGCCTGGGACCAGACAATGTCCTTCACTCTACGGAGAAACACCAGCTCGTCTTGATAGAGCTGGCTGTGCCGTACGAGTCGCGGATAGAAGAAAATTACATGTACAAGCTCGAAAAGTACTGTGATCTGGTGGTCCGACTAAGTGCAGCAGGGGAAGATCGAAGCCTGGAGTCATGACCCAGGTCGGCCTACCTTCCGAGGTTGCCTAGGAAGTAATGGGCCAAAACAGTCGTCAACGAGGGATCTTTCTACTGATGATCGGTGGACCCCTGCTGTGCATGCTCCCCTATGGAGGTCTTCTTATTATTATAGAAGATTGGTTGCAAACAGCAAAAAGGCGGTCGCGAAAACATTAAAGACACTTTACGCCTTCACGGCATGGCAAAAGCCCTTGCCAGCCAACGGACACTATCGCAAATTATTCCTCTATCACGCCGCACAATGCCAACGTGGTTTATGATGATGATGGCGATGGAAGATTCTAAAAATTAGAATTCTCACCTACTCTATGTATTCAGGCGACACAGCCTACTGTGGATATCCGGTAACGTATGGGAAGTAAAGGCCACCACTGTGGTGTTGACCACATCACCGATTCTAGTACCGATTGGTATATAACATGTATAGGTCTAGTTCAACAATATCACCTATCGTGGTCTATAATAATATAAATGTAGCATTTTGTGGTGGATACGCTGCGACAGGTACAGGAATCTTTACTAAAAACTGTATACCCGATGAGACTTGGCGCGTAAAGAGTCCTTCACTAACATTTTACTACGTGTTGCTCAAAATCAGATAGCAAGATAAACTCACTGTCCCAAATAGTGGGGTTCTTGCTAAGACAAACCTGCCTAGTATCCACACGATAAAGAAGAATTATGAGCTGAGTTGGGCTGGTCACCCAGCCCGCATACCAGACCATCGTCTCCCAGAGAGAGAGAGTATTTTATGGCGAACATCAAGGGAAGAGGTCACAGGGAGGACAGGAAAGACGCTATAAGAACACTCTTAAAACTGCTCTCAACTGTGTTGGCGTCAACACAGCGACTTGGGAGGCTGCTGCACAAGGCCGTTCTGGATGGCCTACATCTCTCAGGTGTGGTGCATCAGCCTGCCAGACAACAGAGGTTGTGCAAGCAGAGAAACGGAGGCAGGCTAGAAAGAACAGTATCGCTAATCCCACACTTCTGGCGGCTTCCACTTATTATCCGCACTGCTCAAGAACTTTCCAGGCTTGGATTAATCAGCCACCTTCGTACTCATAATCATTGATTATAACTACTTTGGATGAAAAGTGGTCTTCATCACTCGTGATGGACAAACAACAAATACGTGTCACATATCGTACAGACACAACAGTGTACAAGCAGAGATGTAGGGTACACATAGAGATTTGGACTGCAGATAGTTTTCTTCAAGATTACTGACTTCATATAAGTTTTCTGAAGAAAAGATCAACGACGAAAAAGAAGTTCTCTCTCTCTCTCTCTCTCTCTCTCTCTCTCTCTCTCTCTCTCTCTCTCTCTCTCTCTCTCTCTCTGTGTGTGTGTGTGGGTGCGACAGCCTAGCTTGTCGCCTCCTACGACATGCGTGAAGAATCGCCTCGTTACCCTTTGCTTTCATAATCATTTATAATCATTAAGCCACAGTAGCCGATGTGATTTGATTCGATCAATTGATTCATACTCCACCCACACAGGACATGCACGTTACTGCATAGAGTGTAACCCAATAGCTGGTAAATACATTTTAACGAGATGTTCTGTTGGATTGGAATCTGGAAAGTGGATCTTTGTATCATTGGATGTCAGTCTTTCATGTTGTAGTTAGAGAAAGAGAGAGAGAGAGAGGGGGGGGGGGGGGGGGAGGGTGGAACTAGTTTAAAGATTGAACTCTTTCCGTACTAGCTGATCCAAGGAAGCCTTGAATACAATGTAAAAGACTTTAACTTTTGACTTACCAAGAGGTAAATACACCGCATTGCATGTTTGAAATGTAGATCTGATCCAAAATTGCCTAGTTAGCTCAAATCAAATCGTTAAGATTCAATAACTAATCGTATATGATGCGGTGCTTGGGACGTTAAGGGTTGAAGAGGAATCTTAACGTGATCGTATGTTGTCTGTCCACTTGCCAGGTTTCACAGCCTACCTGTTGTCGGAGGAGTGCGATCTGTTTGATCCCGAGCACCTGTCTGTCTGCCAAGACATGACCCACCCGCTCAGTCACTACTTCATCGCCAGCTCACATAACACGTAGGTAGACTTGCTACTGGTCTGTAAATGTATGTGTGTCTCACTGTCTGTGAATCTGTCTGCCAAGACATGACCCACCCGCTTAGTCAGTGACTGTTTCACACACCACATAGGTAGATTTCTTCCGCTATGCCTGTCTTGTTTGTCTGCTTCCGCTCTGTCTTGTCTGTCTGCTTCCGCTGTGCCTGTCTTGTCTGTGTGCTTCCGCTATGCCTGTTTTATCTGTGTGCTTCCGCTATGCCTGTCTTGTCTGTCTGCTTCCGCTGTGCCTGTCTTGTCTGTCTGCTTCCGCTGTGCCTGTCTTGTCTGTCTGCTTCCGCTATGCCTGTCTTGTCTGTGTGCTTCCGCTATGTCTGTCTTGTCTGTGTGCTTTCGCTATGTCTGTCTTGTCTGTCTGCTTCCTCTATGTCTGTCTTGTCTATGTGCTTCCGCTATGTCTGTCTTGTCTGTGTGCTTCCGCTATGTCTGTCTTGTCTATGTGCTTCCGCTATGCCTGGCTTTATCAGCTATGCCTGTCTTTTTACGCTATGCCTGTCTTGTCTGTGTACTTCCGCTATGCCTGACTTGTCTGTGTACTTCCGCTATGCCTGTCTTGTCTGTGTACTTCCGCTATGTCTGTCTTATCTGTGTGCTTTCGCTATGCCTATCTTTTTCCGCTATGTCTGTCTTTTTCAGCTACGACTGTCTTGTCTGTCTGCTTCCGCTATGTCTGTCTTATCTGTGTGCTTTCGCTATGCCTGTTTTTTCCCGCTATGCCTGTCTGTCTGTCTGCTTCCGCTATACGTATCTTGTCTGTCTGCATACGCTATGCCTGTCTTGTCTGTCTGCTGTCGCTATGCCTGGCTTGTCTGTGGGCTTCCGCTGTGCCTGTCTTGTCTGTCTGTCTCTCTAGAAATGATCCACTTACTCAGTTTCATTGGCAGCTTACACAACACAAGTAGATCAGCAGCTGTTCCCCTCCCCGGCCCCACCCCAGGCCCTCTCTCTCTCTCTCTCTCTCTCTCTCTCTCTCTCTCTCTCTCTCTCTCTCTCTCTCTCTCTCTGTGTGTGTGCGTGTGTGTGTGGGGGGGGGGGGGGGGTAAGCGTCTTGTGTCAGTGAGTGATGGAGTTAGTGAATGATTAAATGAGATATGAACAGATATTACATACAGTATAGGGGAAAAAAGAAGAAATGAAAGAAAGACAGAAATAGAAAACATTTATATAGTAATCAACTAAACAAAGAGTGAAAGAAACTAAAAACAATTAAGCAAGCAAATAGACAAATGTAGAAAGGCAACAAAGAATGAACGAAGAACAGACAGGCGAAGATGAAAATACAGATTGTAACAATTTCGACAGAATACATAAATGATTGAAGTTTACAAGTTAGGAAAACCAACAGCTTAGCACTCGGGGCATTAGTCGAGGAAAATGAGATAGTGACAGGAAGATAGAAATATAAACCAGAAAGAATGGGAAAGAAACGGATTTTTCTGAGAGAAAAAAAGACAGAGCAAGGCTGAATTATAAAAAAGAAAGTATTTTTATCACATATTCTAGAATATCCAAGTATCCAGTATACACTGGCACAAAAGGATAGAAATGTAAAGCGAAAGTTAAATAGGGAAAGGAAAGCAACGTCAGTAATCTGTAGGAATGAAAGCAACTAAGTGAAGAATGAAAGTCAAGAAATGAAGAATTAACAGGATACATACACCCAGTATTGACAAGGTCCTGAAGTCACTAACATGAGAAATATAACAAGTTGTCTAGTTTCCCCGGGACAGAAGATAATACTTGTAATTTTCTCTGCTGATAGCCTGTGTACTCTGTTCTCACTGGTCTCCGTGTGTATGGTAATTTGTTCTTTGTCTGGTCTGCGTCCCCTAGCTGAAAAGTGCTGTATAACTTGGCTAGAGTGGAGCCCATTAGATCGTAGGCTAGGGTATATAATCTCTGTCTGTCTGTCTCTCTCTCTCTCTCACCCTCTCTCTCTCTCCTCTCTCCGGCCTCTACCCTCCGCCTACCTCATCCGATCTATCTATCATGTGGGTACAGGGTGTTTGGCCATCTATAGAGATGGCGAGAGCAGCTTCGGAAGGTGTGCAGAGAAGATTAATGTAAAATGAATTGCTTTATCTCGTACCAGAGTAAGTTGATACACTTTTATAGTCTTGTGGTAAAATAGCATGAGTGAGTGGGCAAGGGAAAAAAGTAGATATGATTAGTTTGTTAGTCACTTAGTCACTTAGTTAGTTGGGTTATCATCATTGCACACTGGGCATTTTTATAGTTGCCCAGATCCTTCCTTCCCTCGGTATGAATCCCAGCGTCTGGTGGCTAATAGTACCAGTTCTATGTTGATTAAGAAATCCTCTGATGTGCCGCCTGGTGTGTGTCTAGTTTTTCGCCTAGCCGATGTTTTAACTCCTAAGTCTATCATTCGGGTCAATGACATGGATTCACTGCCCTCAAAGTCTACCACCCTTCCTGTTTCTCGGAGGGTAGTAATAATATCGGCATGATCCGTAGGTTGACCGTCGGTAGTGATAGCGGTCCCGGACAACCTGTAAGCTTTTTTTTTATTTTATTTCTACCGACGCCCGCGTGTCCCGCAACGAAAAAAAAAAATGGCTTCACGCACAGTGGACTTCTTTATTGACTCTAGCCGCTGCCTTTGCATGTAGATATGGGATATAGTTAATGCAGTTTTATCATGTGATGAGATACACACGCAATTTAAATCAGCGTACTCACACACACGCACAGGAGTCAGTTTCTGGGAAAAAGAGGGGGGGGGGAGAGAGAGAGAGAGAGAGAGAGAGAGAGAGAGAGAGAGAGAGAGAGAGAGAGAGAGAGAGAGAGAGAGAGAGAGAGAGAGAGAAACAGTAGATATTTTACCCGTATGTCGAAGTACACAGTCACTCCTGGGACAGGGAAGTACCGTAAATACAGTAACAACTAACGGAAATTCTATAGTCCTTTCCAAAAGTTGTGCCCTCAAATATCTCGTAAACTCCTGTACGGATCAACACAAATTTTTGCACATGGTCTTAAGAGCTCTTGTTTGCTTATAATTTCATAATTTACATTCACTGAGTTATATGTGTTTAAAGTTGGGCACGACAATCAACAAGCTTAGGATTAAGGTTGATTGTATTCCCATTTCTGCTAGACTTTTGGATTTGATGATCTTCTTCTTCTTCAGCATTCCGAACCCTTAAGGTTAATTCCTGCAGATATCACCCGCCTCCATTAATCTCTTTGGTTGGTCTTCTCTTTCCATTTGGTGACACCAAGTGTTCGCAGGTCTGTCTGGATATTATCTCTCCATCGTCTTCTTGGTCTGCCTAGCGGTCTAAAACCATTCACCTTCCTCGTGTATACAGTTTTTACTTCTCTGTCATCTGACATTCTTTCAATATTCCCCAACCATTTCAGTCTATCAGCTCTCATGAAGCCAGTTATCAGTGGTGACTTAAACAGGTTTTGATGATGGATAGTAAAATATTTGCAGATATCAAAATAGAAGAACTTGAGGTTGATCTTGACTAACCGGCTGCATATACTATTGCTACAGAGATTCTTCTGATAAGATGGATAGTAAAATGTTATCAGGTAACAAGATAGAACAGCCTGAAGTTGATCTAGAATATCCAGACATTCACAGTTCTGGCAATGAGGCTCTGAGTGAAGGCCACACCTGTCAGAAGATAGATAATGAAGTACCAGCAGCTGTCAAGACTGAACAACCTGAAGTTTATCTAGACTTTCCAGACTTCACCCTTGTTATTTTTTTTATATTTTTTTTAAATCTGTAACATTGTAGTTATAGGTCACATATTGTGTCTTCTCTGACTGAAATCGATAAGAGCTAAGAGCATTACTTTAGCTAAAAGCAGTTTTAAGTTTGATATCCTGGAAACAGTAATAAAACGTACACAGATCTCTAGAGGGTCCCCTGATTGTATTGTTCTCTACTGTATTGTTGACCCTACCAGTAGCACTTATCTAAAAAACACAAAACATACATATCAGATGGATGTGATCCAAGTCTCAGTGGAGAGAAGGAATCACAAAAAAGTGGAGAGACTTACAAAAAGCAAGTTTGTGGTAATGCTGTTGCTCAAGCTGATCGTCTAAGTCTATCAACAGGCTAAAGCAAGGAGTGAGACAAGCGTGTGTTTTGTAACCGGATCTCTTCTCTGTCTATAGTGAAACAATACTGAGGGAGGTCAAAGATAGACCAGAAATACTAGTTGGAGGTTATAATATAAACAATCTTCGTTATGCAGACGATACAGTATTAATAGCAGTGAACGCAGAAGACCTGCAACAACTATTAGACATTGTTCTACCAGAGAGTGCAAAAAAAAAAAAAAAAAAGACTCTCCTTGAATAGCAAGAAAACAGAAACGATGGTTATATCAAAGAAGAAGATAGCTCCAAAATGTGACATAGCTAAAGGGAAAGTGCTTAACCAAGTCAATAAATTCAAGTATTTGGGAACATTCATAACATCAGATGGAGGATGTGTGACAGAAATTAGAAGCAGAATTGGCCAGGCAAAGACAGCTTTTCAGAAGATGAGAAGTATTTTATGTAATAAATCACTCTCATTAACATCAGAAAATGAGTATTGAAATGTTAAATAGAACCTGTTCTGTTGTATTTTAGTAAATCTTGGAATGTGAGCAAACAAATTAAGAAGAGTTTGGAGGCAGCTGAGATGTGGTTCTTGAGAAGAATGTTGCTAATACCTTGGACTGCCAGAATAACCAACATTTAATGCATGGAAATGGCTAATGAAATTAGAACATTATATACGACGAGCAAAGTTTTTTGGTCATGTTATGAGAAAAAGAGCACTGGAAATATCGTGACAACTGGAAAGATCACTGGTGGAAGAGGCAGAGACAGACCAAGAGAAATGGTTGTTGATAGCTTAAGACAGCTGCGTGGAGGAATATCATCAGATCTGTGCGTTTCAGGCAGATGTCCTCCGACTTCGAAGGAAG